TTTTTTTGACCATCCATTCGTTCTATCTATGAATATTCATGGAGCACCTACTATGAACTTGGGATTGAACTAAGTAATGGGAATTTCAGCAGTAAGTAGGATAAAATCAGTCCTTACCTTTGCTGAGTTTGTGAGTCTGTGAACATTTATTGAGTACCTTCGATATACTAAATACATCCCCGCCTCCCCACAAATTCAGACAGAACCAGAGGAGAGATGCTTTATGGGACTCCAGCTGTTCCCAGAAGTGGGTGGTGCCTATGTTTGAGGATTAGTGTTTCCAGATGTTAGGCAGCTAAAAGAAGAGAAACCACTACAAGGTGGGACAAGTTCTGGTTCTGTTACCCTTCTACTTTTAGCTCTAGTTTTGCATCTCTCCCTATTTTTCTTTAGCAATTTACTCTCCCAAGGGGCCTCAGATTTTTATTTTGTAGAATGAAGAGCTTGGCTGAACACAAACAAGTACTTAAAAAACAAATCACCAACTAGATTAAATTTTCTCAAAAGCAGACCAGTCAGGCTAGCATCATGTCAACTCCCAATTTCTGTAATTGCCTGGAACCAAGTGCATATTTACAAGCACTTCTAATTGCATCAACAGTCGTGGGAAGAAGTGAAGGTCTGTAAATAATTTCCATGCTGTTGCATTGGACTGGCTACAGCCAACATACCACGTTCTGCTGTGCCTGCCTAGCAGAGGTTCATCCAGTGCCCTAGAAACTACGCTATATTTAACATTTTTTAAAGAATTCTTCATCAATGAAGTCTGTGTCAACATTAATTAGGTGTCCTCTGAAAGCAAAAGGGCAAATACTAACATCCCAGGAAAGAAAAAGAAAGGCTTTGAATAAAAGAAAGCTAAGAGATTAAAAGCCAGAGCAGCTCTGTAGACTTCTGTAGAACTCTGTAAAATGCTACCTGCACCCCATTGCCGACTGGATAGAGCGTAAACCCTCATCCTAATCCTCAGGGGCCAGAATCGTCCCCTACTCCTCCTCCTCTGGATGTCTGAATTGAAGCCTCCCCTGAGATGTTCCTCATAGGCCTGTCCAATGTGTCTCTCTCATCTTTGTGGACACTGTCCCCACTATGCCTAAAAAATAGCTAAAAAAAATAATTTTGCTCTAGAGATTTCTAGCCCTCCCACTGTCCCCACTGCCTCCACCAGGAATCTGACAGTGTTGGGCATGATTCAGTGTCCCCTGAGGGACTCACACAGAGCCCTTACTTAACAGGTACTCACTTAACCTTTGTTAATGATTAGTAGCCATGACAATAATGATGGTAGTAAAAACACATGCAGGATTTCCCTGGTGCCTTGCACTCTTCTAAGGGCTTTGGATATATTAATTGAGGAAATTATCCCAACAACATAAGGGAGATTTAGCAAGTGAGGAAGCAGAAACAGTAAGTGACTAAGTCACGTTCAGGATCAAACAACTAAAAAAATCAATATTTAAACCTAAACCATCATGTTCTCGCAGTGCCTGGGCATAACTGTCAGACTCCTAGAGAGGTGTTTGGAGTCGACTATTTCCAACAGATAGAGAAAGAGGATGGAAGAAGAACAAAGATACTAGCAAAGAAATATGTGAGGTTCTTGTGAGAATTTTTGTTCATTTCAGGTCCCTTCTTGGAGTAACTAAGGAGACTGCCAACTGCAGCGTCGCTCTGTGTCACTCTGTGCAAAAAACGTCACTAACTCTTAGGGATGAAGAGGGGGCTCTGACCTGTCTAGACCTTGGTACGGAACTGAGACTTTGTGTATCATGAGCACTTCCTCTACCCAGGGCTTCACACATGCCAAACAAGCACCTCACCACTGAGTCCCATCCCTAGCCCAGCACTCCCCAGGTAAAGAAACAAACAACTGGGGCTGGGGATGTGGCTCAAGCGGTAGCGCGCTTGCCTGGCATGCGTGCGGCCCAGGTTCGATCCTCAGCACCACATACCAACAAAGATGTTGTGTCCGCCGAGAACTGAAAAATAAATGTTAAAAAAATTTCTCTCTCTCTCTCCCCCCCTCTCTCACTCTCTCTCTAAAAAAAAAAAAAAAAAAAGAAAGAAACAAACAACCTTGAGGTTCAAGGAGCACCCCAGGCCTTGGAGCTGTTCTGCTGTGGGAAAGCAGGTTGACCCAGGTTTGGCAGAAACAGAGCTTGGAGGACCAGGGAAGAAGAGCAGGCATAGGGCTCTTCCATGGGGCATCTCTGTCAGAGTTTCCCCTGCACCCAGGGAAAGGCCTATTCAGTGGCTGGAGGGATGTCTCTGTACTTAAGGAATGTCTCTGCCTTCATCTTTAGCTTGAGATCCTCATATTAAGGTGACACCCAGCATTGCTGGCTGGTGAGGGGCTTGTGGGAGCTGTTTCAGGTTCACTGTGAGTTCTGGGAATCTTACCTTTGGAGCCCCCCATCCCAGTATGGCTCACATGAAGTAGCATTTATGTGACACTCCATAAAATTTACCAATTGGAAATGTACTATGTGGATATTTAATTAAATGCTTCAATTTTCAATTTTTTTCTGTGGCTTTTTTGGGACTCTTTATTTTCATGCTTATATTTGTTTCCTGTCTTGGATAATTCCATAACCTTGAGCACTTTGCTCAGGATGAAAAGGCCCTTGGAGGCATGTCTCATCATTTATCTGTGTCCAATCTTTCCTCTTGCCCCTTGGAAAAGAGTTGCATCCCTCAGAGGTCATCTCATAGATATCAGAGAGCTCTATGCCAAGATCATCTGTAATGTCCTCTGGAGATGCTTGGAGAGACAAAGGACAGGCCCACCAGGTAGAGAAGCCACTTGCGAGGGGGCAACTCAGGGAAGCTGGAGCCAAAAGTTTCTATTTTTCCCTCCAGGCAAGAGGGAGGGGCCTTCCTGGTCCATCCTCCAACAGATGGCCCTGCACTGGGCACAGAACTGCCCACCCCACCCTCAACCTGGCTCTCTCCTTACCTTGCTCAAAACAAAGGCCTCTGGGCTGTGCCTGTAGAAGGTTTCTTTGAATGACCCCAGCCAGATCTCAGCAAGGCGGACTTTGTTCCGGAGGATGGCCTCCTGGTCAAGGGAGGAGGAGTGGGTATCCTGATTTTGGTAGATGTGCCCCACTCTAGAGCAGGGAAGGATTTCAACAGAGCCACCACAGAGCCAGGCCTGCCATGAAGGGAAAAAGTAAATGACTCTACCTTCCACTTCCAAGAATGGTGAGGAGGAAGGGACTCTGTTGGTGAGGGGCTAGTGAGTCGCACAGAAATCATGAGCACAAGATGGTCAATATCATCAAGGTACTCAGGGTGGAATTTCCAGATCTGGGAATCTGAGCAGGAGAGTGTCAATGTGGGAAGAATGGGGACAGTTTCCCCAGAATGGAATGGAGGGGTGAGGAGCCACACTCATGCAGCTACCTGAACATGCCACCCTTGAAACAGATGTGCAGATTCAGCACCTGGGAGAGAGGCAACCAGGTGTATTAGCACCCCACTTCTGAGAGGATGCTTTCAGGGTAAAAGATGCTTCTCATTGTCAGAGAATTTCTGAAAGCATTTGCAGGCAGATGCACTGGATCGTGTTTGGTAGATGTGAAAATGAGTCTTCCTTAAATCGTCTTCATTATTTCCAGAAGTTTCTCTCTGCCCCTCAATGCTCCCTCCCACTTTCAAATTCCTGAAGTTCATTTGACAGAAAGTCTTTCATTCCACTCTTGGGGATAAAGGTTAAAATGAAAACTGTGGTATGATAGGAAACATATTAATTGGAACATACCCAGGTGGGGGTTACCAAACTGGGTGCCCTGGGGTGACTCAGAGACCTTTAAGGGCATCTGGGATATTTTTTTTATTTTTAAGAGAAACAGATACATAATGTCTGTTGAACATTTTGCAAACTGCAAGCTCAAGTAATCATACTCATTATCATATCTTTGTGCTTTTGATGATGAATGTCCTTGCTGGGTTGGGTTTTTTGAGGTTGTCAGGATGAAAAAGCAACTATTGTGGTAAAATTAATGCGGGCAGAAAATGATGGGTGTCTGATCTGATTCCAAGGTTTGAGAATTTAAGCAGAACCCAGCAGGGACTAAGTTGTTAGGACAAATACTAATTCGTTTGGACCAAACTACTCAATACACAGAATGGGTTGGTAGAGTTGGTATTTGTTTAGCCTATGGGTTCTGGAAAAAAAAATTGAGCTGAAAAAAAAAAAAACCTGAGATGCCAAGTGTTCTATGAACAGAGAATACACAAGAGTCTCTGTAATCTTTCACTAAGATGTAAATGACTGATGGTATGCCCTTACCTGACAGCAGGTTTTGAAAGTCAAGTTCAGGAGACTGAGAGTAAAATCAAGGCAGGGCCCAAGAGAGAAGGGAGAGAAATGGGAAGTTTGGCACACCTTATTGTCATGAATTTATACTTTAGCCACAGCCTCATCCCTGAATTTCGTATGACTGCCTTTAGGCTGTAACTATATACAGGGTTCCAGAGACCCTAACTGTGTCCTCCCTTGGTACAGGGCATACCTTGAAGGACATTTCAAGGTTTTCACCACCCCGCAGTGACATGAGAGGATCATAGGCTCCCGTGTTTTGGAAGTAATGTCTGTCCATGGCCACCACCTCTCCAGGCACCACAGGACTCCTGCAGAGAAGATGGGCAAGAGAGGACCATTCAGAACTGGAACACAGTAGGCAAAACCGGGGCCTTCCCAGGCGGGGAGTTCCAATGGCCAAGAGGGTCGACTCTAGGTTCAAATGGACCTCAGTGTTTTTAATTTCAAGACCGGAGCAAAACAACAATGTCAGAAATCCAAACGTTTTATGGGAAGAGAACACAGATTGCTAGAATACTGGGAATCAATATTGTAATGATTTCTAGATACGGTCTCCAACTCTGCTAGTCACTATTTGCCCATCTTGGGTGAGATATTGAACCTCTCTGAGCTGAGATTCCTCGTCTCTAATTGGGATAAAACAGTGTTTCATAATTGGGCTTTGTGGGGGTTTGGAAAACAAGTGATGTCAATGGCATAGCACTGTGGAGGCCACATTTTACATGCTTACTTAATTTTGGTGTCATAAAGCCCCTCTTCCTTCTCTGAAACCTATGGGTCAGTGTGTTTTTAATTAAGAATTTTTTGGACTTTAAAAAGTATATACTGAGCCTGGGGTTGTGGCTCAGTGGTAGAGGGCTTGCCTAGCACATGTGGGGCACTGGGTTCGATCCTCAGCACCACATAAAAAATAAATAAATAAAATAAAGTTATTGGGTCCATCTACAACTAAAAAAAATTTTTTTAAAAATCATCACAGTTAAAAAGAAGTCATATGCTACTTGTAAGCTCTGGTTTGACTCTTTAGTCAAACATACCAATATTACTTCAGTGAAACATTCAAATACTCACAGTAAGTGGGATAAATCAGGCCTGTGCCAACCCCTGCATCAGTCCAGGGCAGCTTCTTCTGCTTTGTGAATTAGGAAAAATATGCTTGATTTTCAGAGCTCTTTGGGTTTCAGTTTTGAATAATGGACTATAAACTTGTACTTACAACACAGTACAGCATAGTAGTGAAGCATGGGGTCTCAGGAGCCTGGCTGTCCAGGTTTTAATTTTGGATCTACCTCATTAATTTTATGACATTGAGCAATTTATTTAATCTGTATGTACCCCAGACACTGTAAAGGAGAGACAACCACCAGCCTACCCCTCCATGCCCTTTCAGAACCCATGATCAGAATCTGTGAGCTTAATTAAATGGCTATTGTCTTACACCACTGTTTTGAGGTGTCTTGTTAAACAGAGAAGATATCTAGGACATCTACTTAAATAGGTGTCCAAAAATCAAATATGTGAAAAATGACCCATAAAACTGGATGTATTTTGAGATTTATGATGTTTTAATATTCACCTTGCCAAATCCTTCATTTATGCTGAACAAGTATTTGAGGCCAAGGAATTTCCAATGCTACCTGGTGAAAGAGCTGGGTCAAGCTCTTCCTCTTCCACTTTTCCAACATCCACCAAAGCCCTGTGGAAGAGCTTCACTGGACTCTATCAATACAACAATGAGAGTAACACTTACCTCTGAGTGCCCAGAGCTTTCTAAATGCTTTTTATAAATCAACTCATTTGGTTTTCACAACAGTCTTATAAAGTAATACTACTATTATTCTCAATTCACTAATAAGGAAACTGAGGCATAGATTACCTTGTAAGGAAAGTATGGAACCAGGGAAGGACAGGTTGTGCCACGGGGCCTCACCTGATGGGGCTGGTGGGGAACCGGAGGGCCTTCCTCTCATTCTCTGGCAAAGGCTCCCAGTGGAAATCCAGCTTCCAGTCCAAGACCCCACGCTGAAGATCCTTGGACGGATAATATTGGAAAGTCTTCCAGTCAATCACATCTATGACTGGGGATACCACACGGCTCCTGGAAAGAATCGGGGATCAGACAAAGGACGCAAACCATTCGTTTCCGGGGATGAAAACCAAATCTATAAATGTGCTGTCCAATATGGCAGCCACCAGCCACTAGGGCCTATTGGGCACCCCAAATGTAGTTTGCCCAAACTAAGATGTGGTATAAAATTAAAATACACACTCTGATGTAGAACTTAGTATGGAAAAGGGATATAAGAAAACCTCAATAAATTTTATATTGATTACATGTTGAAATAATACTTTGGATATATTGGAGTTATTAAAATATATTCTTAAAATTAATTTCATATGCTGACTTTTATTTTGTAATGTGACTGTTAATTTTTAAAAATTACACATATGGCTCATGTTCTATTTCTGTTACATAGCATTGTTCTGAAAATCATGTTTTTCCATAATAAATGGGGGCCCATTTTGTTAAAGAGTATACCCGCCCCTGTTTTTCTTTTAAAATTTCTTTTAACAGCATCGAGAGACAGAGGAAATGTGTCCTAGGCTCAGCTCTGCCACTAATGAGCTGAGTTGTAGGATCTTAAAATAGCTATTACACCCCTCTAGCCTTGGTTTCCTCACTTGTGAAGTGAGAGGTTGAGCTACCTCCCATAAAGATCTTTTTAAGCATAATATTCCAAGAACGTTGTTCTTTTCTAAGAATCAGGAAAAAGTATAGACCCCTCCTGAGAAAATTGCATTATATGCACACATGCAAACGATCACACACAATGTCAGAGGTTCATGGACTCAGTCTAGTTCTTGTTTCTTTCTGTATCCTAAAACTTCCTTGGCTTGAGGAATCAGGATCATCAAGACTGGGAGATATCCCTGGTGGTAATGTTTACAATTTATGAGCACATGGTATCTATAAATAAAGCAAAGTATTGAGTCCAGTTTTATTTGTTCATTTTCTGCTGCTGTTGGGGGCTCTACTTTATCCCCATTTTTTTTTTTGCACTAATGGTGATAAGTTTTCAGAGAGAGAGAGAGAGAGAGAGAGAGAGAGAGAGAGGTAGAAAACCAGCACAGTTGAAATTTCACTTTTTAACTAAACAAGGCATCACCTGGGTGCACCAGAAGCTGCTCTTTACCTACCCAATATCTCAATTAAGTTTTATTCTGGCTCCTCACAATTATGTTTCATATCTGTGCTGTGGAATGGATCTGGTCTGAACTCAGGAGAGGCTGAAGACACCACTTCAGGAAAAGTGAGCTTCTTGGAAGGAGATATGACAGCCAACTGCATTTGTCCATCGATTTCCATTTCTGTTTGTCCATCTTGAAGATAGCCAGGGCAGGAGAAGCCCACACCATATAGACAGGACCAATTATATGGATCCAATCCCAGGATCCAATTATCTGTTTTATTCTGTCTCCTTAAGTGACTGATGTTGGTGTGGGGCATTATGGTATTCACATTTAGACAAAAGATCTAGATAGGTTTTTCTTCCCTTTTTACATTGTTCCACTGAAAAACAAGAGAATTCAATCCTTCTAAGTCTTCATTATTTTGGGGTGTCCTGCATTGATCTAAGAAAACCATGAATCAAGAATGAAGTAGAAAGGAAAGAGGGTACCCAGACTTCCTCCCCAGTCTTCACTTACTATGGGGATAAATTGAATGGTGGCGATGGATTTGCCTATTTGCAAAGCATTCTGTGGAATTTCAGAATCAAGTCCCAGGGCAGCTATGAAGCTGAATTCTGAAGCATTGCATCAAATTTGTACTACATTCATCCATCCAAACAGGACAAAAAAGGAAATGACACTCACACAATCAATTTATCCTAGACGTTTAGGCTGTATACTCAACAAAGGTGGACATGATCGTTTTCCTCCACATTTTTTATTGGTGCATTATTATTGTACATAATGGTGGGATTTGTTGTTACATATTTGTACATGCACACAAAATAACAATATAGTTTAGTCAATATCCCTCCCCAGTAGGCATGATCTTTTATCAGTAAGTGAGAACTCAGCAACTCATACTATTTTTACTTTGCATTTCTATAAGCTCAGAGTCATGCAAATCTCACTTCCAATAACTAAGTTAGCCCTGATTCCCAATACTTTCCTTTCTGAATTCCCCTTTTCTCTTGTACTTTGAGTGGGGACATGGAGATGAATCATGAGCCTCCTCAAGTACATGTAGGATGGAGATGGAGAACAGAATGTCAACGAGTGAAGGGAGAAATGTTTTCTGTTTTTATTCCCATAGATCACGGTTGGCTGATCAATCAGGGCTGAATTAGTAACTAATTCATAAGACTAGTGACTCAAAAAGAGTGATCAATTTGAAACAAAAACTCCCCACAGTCTTATATTAAGCCCCTCTGCCTTTTATTTTTGTACCTACAGGTATATATGTTGTCCTCAGAATTCACTGAGTGAAAAATAGGAAAGCAACCCCTTTTGACTTGGAGGGACCTATGAGTGTCTGCTCACTCCATCATCTTTGTACTTGTGAATTTTTAAATTATCATATTAACACATGTTAATTGTAAAAATGGGTGGAATTCACTGCAATCTTTCCATACATGTATATGCCATGCATTAATCATATCTGATAACCCTACTACTTTCCACCATCCCTTTCCTGTTCCCACCCCAGCACTCTTCCCAGTCTCTAAAAGTCCTTCTTAATCCCGGGCAGGTGCAAGGCACAGCCTCTGGGAAAACTTTCCAAATTCCAGGAGATCAAGTGTTTGGGTTTCAAAAGACAAACAGAGGCATTTGAACGGTCAACAAAAACTAGCTAACTGGAATATGTGAGGATAACTAATAATACCCTGCTGCCCAGAGATTCCAAAGTAACCGCATTTCAACATTCCCAGCCAATGCTTTCCCAAGAATAAAGAATAGTCCTAGTTTATCTTATCTCTCTTTACTTTTCCTGGGCCTGGATGTCCCTCCAAGTCCGCCATTTTGAAAGTTCACATATAATCTTGTTTTTTTGTGGAAAGATCTTTATACTGAGATGAGGCAGCCTCTAAATTCTTTTCCCACAGTTCTTGCTGCTCAGGGACTAGTATCCTAGCACTTCCAGGGTCAGATCAGGGAATTTGTCATGCCAAGGGGTGTGAACGGAATTGGGGGCTGGGGAGTTTCTTTGGTGGCTGCTCCCTCTGAGGGGTGGGGTTATCTTGATGCCTTCCTGCTCCTTCACAGGCACCTAGACACATGCTCCCACATTCACACACAAGCACACAGGGGATTTCTGACTGCTCCATCTTTTAACCACTTGAAGGGTAGAGAGGTGGGAGGAGCTCTGTTCCAGCCACACCTTGTTTCTCCCCACTAAGCAGGATTAGCCTTGCTGAATAATGGTGACTTAAGGACTTGATATCTCTTAGGGCCCAGTCCAATGTTTAAATGGGAGATGATTTAGCCAATGTCTTGAAATGACATTGTCATTTGGTTCCTACTGAAGACTGCCTCTTTCTCCTTAGAAACCTTCATTTTTTTAGCAGTATGACTTCTACTCCTTGGCTTGGGCCGGTGGAGATGCCCATCAGGCAACTGGAAGCTGGAAATGACAGATGTTCTTCATTTTCATGATTATGAAAATAATCATGTTACTGTATATAGAAACTGACCATCTGTCAGCACCTTCCAGGACTGCCCTAAAGCCAACTGCTCACAGAGAGACTTTGTGTAGGGTTGCTATGTATATTTTGGGGGTTCTGCAGGGCTCAACCCTTGAGAACACCTCTAATATTATATATACTATAAATTTGCATATTTATTTGACAATTTTCTGGCAGCTGGCATTTTAATATCTTATTCTAACAAAATCAGTATATTATGACAAATTCTCTGAGAGATGGGAATAAAGGGTGAGGCGGAAGAAAAAAATCTAAAGAAATAATTCAAAGTTGCATATGGCTAGTGGTAGACCTGCTCCAGGGATCCCTATAGGGAATCAAGAATGGTAACCAGGGTGTTATGACTCCGAAGTAACTGGTGTGTGGCTTATCACACTGCTCACCCTTAAAGACTTTTCCTCATTTTTGGACACTAGGTCCTCCTCATCTAGAAACCGAAAGTCCCTTGACATGAGCCTCAGATGCAGCTAGGTCCCCTTTACTGTCTCTAAGCAGCTACATTTGGTGGCCTCTGTGGCTTTGCTTTCCATGTGAGGAGCTGCCTTGGGAAGCCCACAAGGGCTGTGTGGTCACATCACTGGGGGAGAAATGCAAGTCATGAAGAGGGCATTGCCATGCTCAGAGGACATAAATGACAACTCAGATTCTAGACAGGTAGCTTTTCTTTGAGGCCCTCACACCTGAGGCTTATGAGCTGGACCCTGGGAAGCAGAGTTGACAGGAAGCCATGAAGGAGGTGTGGGGTGGATGAAAAGAGTCATACCACACAGAAGAGAGAGGACATGAGGGAGAAGGAAAGGCAGGAATGCAGCAGAGTCAGAGGCTGGGTATGTACTCCAGTGTGACAGTGTGACAGTGTGACACCAGTGTGACAGCAAACACAAGGGACTCATATCCATGTTTAATTTGTGTCTCACAGCTAGGATACAGGGTGGAATGGCCCAATATTTCTCCTCAATTCTTAAAAAGAAATCAGACACCTGTGTAATCCCAGCAACTCAGGAGACTGAGTCAGGAGGATCACAGGTTCAACTTAGTGAGACCCTGTCTCAAAATAAAGGGCTGGGGGTATAACTCAGGGGTAAAATGCCCCTGAATTCAATCCTCAGTACCTGCTGCCCAATGTAAAAAGATATAAAGAAATCATACACAGAAAGAAGAACACCGGACCCAGAGTCAGGAAACCTGAGAAGCTGCCTGTCCTCTGGGTGCCCTTGCACATCCTGTCACCCCCCTGAGCCTCCATTTGTCCCCTACAGGACACAGAAGCAAAAATGCCTGCCTGAACCACCACATGGAGGGTTACTGTGGAAAGACTGTAAAAATGACATACATATGCAGTCATACATAGGGCTAGACATAACACAAGACTTAATGCCCATCTCTGGGTTCCTAAGGTTCTTAAAGGAAGCACAGGAGACAGCCCAGCTGCTAGTGGCTATAACCCTGGGGGTGTGGTCACCATCCCTGCAACTCAGTTGTTTTCAATAGTGGGGATCATGAGATGGGACAAGACGGTCTCCAAGGTCTCTCTGAGAGCCATCTGTCTGTGAGACCAGGATGGGAATTAGGAATTAGGAAACGGGACAGCATTAGAGTCTGCCTCCAGTAATACACAGTCACTGTGATTTGGGGATAGTCTTCTACAAAGAACAGTGGCTGAGTCTGTGGGCTATTTCTTCCAGACCCACCTCTCACACTGCAGACCCTCGTGGGTGTTACCTGTCACCAGCTATTCTGCTGAGCAGGGGCTCCAGCCAGCCTGGGTGGCACTCGCAGTGGGCATCCATGAAGACCAGCACGTCCCCTGTGGCCCTGGTGGCTCCCAACATCCGGGCCCTGATGGCACCCAGTCTCTTATTGCTCCTGAGCAACTTCACACCCTCCAGCTTGGCCACATATTCGCTGAGAGCAGACTTGAGTTGTCCTGGAATCAACAAGGTTCTGGTCATTGGTGTCACAGATGCAATAGTCAATGGGACTGTGATGACCATCACTAGGGTCACTGTCAGTGGCTGTCTATTAGAAGCCATCATGAACAAAAGAGGTCCTGAAACTCAACTGCATTGTTATAGGGTGGTTGTTGCTAAGATGTAAGAAGATTCCTTAGTTTGGAAGGGGTCATAATTCTATCCACCAAAAGCCGAGGCTTGGTATGCAAAACCAGGAGAGGAGAGAACTTGCTATTGTTCTCTCATCCTCTAAAACATCCACTGAAACAAGCACATGTCCGTGAATCCTGTCTCCAGCTCTGCTCCCAGGGACCCAATCTAAGATAATGGTCAAGGCAGGTAAGTACAGGGCTCATTGAATCAGCATCTGAGAGGTCACTGGGGTGCTAGCTGAGGTAGTCTCATTGTAGGGATACTGTGGTAGAACAGAGTGGGAACTTCAGCAGTTTAAGAGCTGGCAGGCGTGGCTTTGCACTCTGACAAACAGCAGCTCTGCTTACAGACATTTACCATGGAGGCTTGCAGTGGCTAACAGGTACCTTACAGATAGAGAAAACAAAGCAGAACAATCCCCCTTTAGGCTTAGTGCAATAAAGGTCCCTAAGCTTTATGAGCTAAGAATCTCCAGACTGTTGACAAACTTGTATTGTATAAGGAATGTAGAATGCACTTCCAATAGAATTGCACCAATGCCCTTGCCTTGATGTACCCCAAACTTCCCTTCTTAGTCTTATTTAGGAGAGAAGCTATCGAGAGCTCCAGAATAGATTAAGGAAGATTGAAGAGGCAGTTTGAAATTCTCAGAGTCTTCAAGGCAGGTGAGAAGATCACCTGGGGTAGTGTGCTCAGAGTGAGCTGGTAAAACCTGACCTGTTCCTCTCAGAGAATAGCAATGAAGTCCATTTGCAGGAAATCTGTCATGGGCTGGGCATCCCATGCACTTTCTGGTTTAATGATTCAATGTGGAAATTATTATCCCTGATGAATAATCTGAAGCTTGTCTAGCTGACTCTACTGTCTGGCTGTGACTATAATTTGGGGTGACTCCAGGAAGCCTGCAGCAGCTTTGTGTCCTGGTTCTCCTCAGGTGTAAAGCAGGGTTGGTGAACTCAGGGTGGCTGTAAGGATTAGATGAGAACAGTGAGTGTGGTGGCTGTGGTCTGCACTCTGGGTCTCAGCAGGCACACAGGTCACAGGGGAGCAAGCGGGGGTGAAGGGAGCCAGTGCCACCCCTGGTTGCGGGAAAAGCCTTGCTCTTCAGTGTTGGCAAGGAACATGAGGCCACTGAACAGAAAGCCAGCCTAGTGGTGAGGGGCAGAAGAAGTGTTGGTGAGCAGATAGCAAACCTTAATGGCTGAGCATAGGATCCAGATGCCTTCTAGGGGTACTGGTCAGCACTGCAGATGTTGGAAGCAGCCACTTCCCAAACACCAGCTCCTCTACTTCCCACCCTCCTGGAGGACCCAGCCAGGATGAGGGTTGGAAGACCCACCGAGCACTTTGACCAGCAGGCCCAGCCCAGTCCAGTACCTATCAGTCCTGCCCAACACCCAGCCAGATACAGCTCAGGAACCCATGCACTCCCAGAACCTCTGGCTGGTCTGAATTTCTGCCATGGTCAGGTTGGAAAAAATCCTGCCACAAGGACCTTAGAAGGAAGAGGTCCTCGTCATTCTTTCCTGTCCTCTATCACTGCTTTTAGAAACATGCTTCTCAGGGCTGGGCATGTGACTCAGTGGCAGAATTTCTGTCTGGCATGTACAAGATCCCAGGTTTGATCCCCAACACCAGATAAAACAAAACAACCATGTTTTTTAAACCTCAGAAAATGCTTAGCTTCCCTTCAATAGCCTCATCTTTCTACAAAGCCGGATGGGGCCTGTTGAGGTCATTTAGGTAATTCAGAAATGTAGGAACCAAAAACCAAGCGGCAGTTCTCAAAAAGTGGTCCATGGACCAACAGCATCAGTGTCACCTGACTAGAAATAGGAATTCCTAGGCCCAAGCTCAGACCCAGAAACGCTGGCTCTATCAGGCCTGCCAGGTGACTTGGATCCAGCCTAAGTTGGAGAACCGTCAACCTCAAGGTCAGGTGAGGGCTTCTCTGTGTCCGTCTTCTTTTCAGGTATATCCATTAGTGTTTCCTGTCATGACGGGGAAGCATTTGAGCCGATTTTTTTTAGCAGGATTCAGCTCTGGTCAGTTGTTTCCTTTGGCCCCAACCTCCTTGTCTGGACAGTAGGTAAGTTGGTCTCAACAAGATGAGTTGTAAAGCTCTTTACCCAAGTTCTAGGTTACAGTGAGCCCTCAAAAAAATGGTCACCCTCTTGTGACTCTCCAGCATTTTTTGGACTCTGTTGAGGCCGGGGCTTGAGGGAGAGAGATCGCAGTGGGATCAGACTGCAGAGACCCTCCCCAGGATCCTTCCAGAACTTTCCACTTGCTTGGCTTCTTCCCCTTTTCTGTCTGGCTTCCCCCCCTCCCTTACTGGTTTTCCCTAGGGGCTCATTATTAATAAGTTCCTTGCACATGAATTCTCACCTGGAGCTCTGCGTCTGGGGAACTTACCTAAAATGGTTTCCAAACCCCACCTTTTGCAGGATTTTTTAAAAAATAGTTTAAGACTCACAAGAAGTTGCAGGGGTCCAGGCCCACCCCAGTGAGCCTGGAGGAAACCCATAGCTACCTTGTTGACTGAGGTCATCCACGAGAATGACCTCTTTCAGGAAAGCCCTGGGTGCTGTGTCAAGGATGCTGTGCACGGTCCTCAGGAGGGTGGACCAGGCTTCGTCATGAAAACAGAGGATGACACTGGCCGTGGGCAGGCTCTCCTCAGGGCGTTGCTGCAGACACCTGCAGGGAAGAGCCGGGGAGATGTCAGGAAAAGGCTGTCCTCATCCTTGAGCTCACTCTGTGGACCTGCCCTTGTCACATGGCTCCACCCAATCCAAGCTCTCCTTGGATTTTCTTAAAATTTCTATGGAAAGAGACTCCAACATACCTATAGTGGTGCCATCTACTAGCTCCCAGCCCTCAGATCCCAAGAGCTCCTTTTACTATATTTAATCCACACCCCTCTCATTGTACTTGAGGGGTGTTGTCACCATTCTCGGCAGAAGACTGTCCTCATCTGTACTACAGGAATGAATGACATTACCAACCTCAGAGAACTGTCCCAAGGCTAAGTAGGATGATGTGCATTATGGTGTCCTGTGAACACTAATTGACATTCATTCAAGGACAGAAACACTATTTTCTTCTTCTTCTTTTTTTAAATTCCATAACCTAGCACAACAGCTGGGACATAATAAACGTTACCTCATTATTATTATTATTGAAGAGGGGACAAAATTTAACATTTGTGGGTTGACTACATGTGACATGCTATTTGGTCCTTTGCACATATTACTACATTCACCCCCCTCCAAAAAAAAGTCTGTGGGTTATGCTATCTCATGCTCATTTTACAGGTGAGACTCAGAGAGGAGACAAGAATCCTTAAGTTCACATCATTGGCAAGTGGTAGAGCGGGATAATCTATTTTCAGAGCTCTTCTGTGCCTTTTGCTTTCCTGATGGGTGGTGGGTACCCAGGGTGCACACTGCTGCCCATCTAGGGGCTGTCTGAGCTTCCTTCCCTTCTGTCCAGAAGAGTAGGCTGCTCGCCACTTGCTTTCTGTCTGTGGAGAGTTTGAGTGGGCCCAATGTGAAATGAGCTGTAATAACAACCCTATATCTGGAGCTCACATTTATTCACAAAAGGTGCCTTCCTAAAATGTGTTTCTGAAGTGCTTCTTTCTGGGTTGTAGCTGCTAAAAACTATGTCCTTCCTCAAAGGGACACTGGAATCTGGGCTATCTCAAGACCCTAAACCTTCAATACCTAAAGGCCTCTGTGAAGGCATAACTATGGTCAAGCATGGCAACCAAACTGAGTCTGGTCCTGCCTGAGGCACATGCATCTGAAACAGGGTCCACTGTGCTGCTCATCTGCTGAGCATTCCTGGTACCAACCACAATAGGGCTGAAAACTCTCAACACACAGACGACTCTCCAAAGTCCTGCCTGCAGAGAGGGGTCAATTGGTTTTAGGTAAGTGCATTCAGGTAACAGAAAACGGAATTCCTAGATGATTAAAAAAAACACACATACATCTCATATGCTAGCTAAGTGTTTTTGTTTGTTTATGAATTTTTATGCTATTTCTTTCCATAAATGTTTTGAAGCCTTTTAAGGGCTAAGGTATTTCTAGAACGAATTTGAAATTGGCTTCTGAGATTTTTGTATCCAAAGTGAAATGGGAGAGTATGTCACAGCAGAATCCTCACTCAGAGAAGTCACATTCTAGGTGTTTTTAGGGAAAGCAACACTCTTTCAAGTAATTTGTTTTTCTTTCAATTTATAACATCTGATTTTGAAATAGTTTAAAGACTCACAAGAAGTTGCAAGAATCATGCAGAATTCTCATGTTCCCTTCAACCAATGACTCCAAATGATATCTTCCATAACCATTCAATTGACCAACTGTTCAAACATTCAATACCATTAACTCAAATATGGAATATTTAGATTTTATCAAATTTTAAAAATGTTTTTTATTAGTGCATTATCATTGTATATAATATTGGGGTTCATTGTGACAAGTTCATACATGTGTGAAAAATAATTTGCTCCATTTCAGTCCCCAGTACTTCCCCCCCCCACCCACATTCCTCTTAAAGGTGAAATTCACTGTGGTACATTCATATGTGTACATGGCATAATTTGGCTAATTTCATTTATTAAAGAAATTCCTATGTACTGTAGAAAGATTTCCCTAAATGGATGACGATGTCCTTAGAATCATCCTTAAAACAATGGACATATTTATTTGAACTTTTACCATCTGAGTTCAGGGCTGTTAAAATAACGTGGCCAAAGTGCAGATGGCTTCCCTGTAAGTCTGAGAGCCCTGGTGCAGGCACAAGGCAGGCTTTGCTGAGCTCTCTCACCCCTCCATCCTCCTCTTCCACTCTCTCCCTCCTCATTTGCTACTCCTACTGGAGCTTTCTTTTCCTGATCTGTGACTTCCAGAATTTCTACTCTGTCCTCACAGCTACTCCATCCTGCTCACAAGCCCATTTAGAGTGTCATTTGTATCCTCTCCATTTCCTTGTCTGTGGGTATAGATAAATCTAGGGGTCCTAGGACCAGGGCTGGTGGCTAGGAAAAGACAGATTTCTTCAGTGAATTCAGTGGGTTTGAAAAAAAAAAAAAAACCTACATTGTTACTCGGGCATATTGCCAGAAGGTTGGTTGTGTTCTAAGATAGGAAAGGAGTTTGGGGACAGAGAGGCCTGGATTTGGAATCCCTGTGAGGGCAGTAGAATGTAGGGTTGTCTTGCCCACCCACAGATCTGACCCCTTTCTTCATCCTAACCCACTGAATGTGAGACATGGAAAGCAGACATGTGTGTCCTTGTAGTAAAGTGGTTGAAAGATCTCCAACTTTGGAATCAGACCTATTTCAATTTGAATCTTCACTGTGCTGCTTCCTAAGTTTCCTTGGGTAATACACTCAATATTGATAAGCATACGTTTCCTCATTTGAAAAATAAGGATAATAATATTTGCCCGTTAGGCCTGTTGTGAGAATCAAAGACTACTAGTAGGTACTCAGTGACTATTTTATTGCCATCTGGGGAAAAGACAGGATGTAATTAGCACAAATACTGTATTTATGATCATCTTCGTGAGCTGTGGCTATCTTTCATCAACTCTATGGCCTACTGATCTACTTTCACATCTGATTTTTCACACCTGCACAATGAGAATGCCAACCATGGCCACGTAGAGCTTTTGTGAGGAGTAAGTCTGACCAAGTACCCAGCACCTGGCATGTGGCACAGATCCCTCCAAATGAAACAAATTCTCATTTAAACTCTAATTCTTTAAGATTATATTTCTTGCATATTCCCAAAGTTAAGAGATGAGAGTGTCCCGCTCTGCTGAATATCTGGTGACCAGGGCACCTGACTTCTTCTCTTTGGCCTTCTGGAACATTCTCTAGAATCGCCGCAGTCTCTCCTGACAATTCAGATTATGTCTCTGGAGTTTTGCCACTTACCACCTGTGCAAATGACCCTGGGTAAGTTAGTTAGCTCTTGGCACCTTGGTTTCCTCAGAATAGAAACAATAGCACCCACTTGCTAGGGCCTCTGTGAAGATCAACTGACCCTCATAAAACACTGGGGAAAGTCCTGAATGTCTGCTGCCATTATTAACAAATACACCGTTACTATAAAAGGTACCTCTAAGGCTCTTGCAGCCTTGAGATGCATTGTTCTTGATTTTATGGGCTCCCTTTGCAGTAGATGGAAAATCAGGGAAGCAGGCATTCCAAAGAGAATTTCATAGACTCCCCTTGGTCCTGAATTATTTGGGTTTCATGAACAGATGCTAAGTGTGTTTTCACAGTGACAGAAGAGATGACAGGCTGGTGGATGGGCAGAGAGCTGAGCAGGGCAAACTAACAGGCTGCTAAGGGTTTTTCAGGGCCTGGTGGACCCTTGAGGGGGATATGTCCCCATGCCAGGGACGAAGGTCTCCTGGTAGTAGCTCAAAGAGGATCCTTTCCCCTCTTCCAGGGGAAGAAACTCACACAGCCTTCAGGACCCCACACAGACTACTACAGGCCATCTTTCCAGGCCACTGCATAACTGCTGGGAAACCAGAGCTGAAAATAACCATGGAAATAATCTGATATTTCAGGGGTGGACCAGTACCTACTCTGAGTGAGCCCTACTGTGGGTGTCAGAGAGTCCAGGACTTTAATGGCTCTGCATGCAGAACTCAATATTATAACAGAAGGGTGCAAGGCCTTGTGTGTCAGTGCCTTTTATGGGATTTTAGGGGGATCCATGATTGATTATCTTGTTTCTGGTGGCAAAGAGACCTGTGAATGGTGTAAGCTGGATAGCTCCCAGACACCAGATAAAGGAAGGGATAGCAAAGACACGTGCCATTTTAACAGATTTACAGGCTCTGGGATGGTCTTCACCTGTCTGAGGGCAGCACAGAGCCACCTGGGGATGGGAAAAGTGGATGAGTCCTCTCTATACTCATAGGCACAAGTGGCAGAGAAGTGGAGAAATTGAGTGTGATGTAGATCCCCCGGGAGCAGCCAAATTCCACCCACCTTGCTCCAAAACTATTAGTTTAGGGTGTCTTAGGAGGAGACTTGGAGTGAAATGGATAGGAGACCAGGATTGGTCATTGGGTTCAAATGCTGAGCCTCTTCTTATGTGACTTGGGCGACTGATAAAAACTGAAAATCATCCTTCCTTTCAAGAACTTTCAGATCCTCAGGTCTATTTTCATCTTCAGTAATAAATTCTCATTTCTTGCCATCCCTTTGACTCCATTAAGTCCTTTCTGAGCATGCAATGTGCTTAACCTCAGCTTCCCCGTCTGTGAAAAGGGGCTGCTGAGAGGATCGAATGAGTTAATGTGTATGAAGTACTTAGCTCGGTGCCTTGATCATAGTAAGAGCTCAACAAATGTTAATAATTACTTCTTGCAAGCCTCTCATGTGGCTCTATACCTCTCTAAGCCTCAAATTGTTCATCTATAAAATAAGAATAATAAAGAAGTTACTTTAGACAACTATGTAAAGATTAGATAAGCAAAGGTTTAGGTTGTGTGCTTTGTTCACAGCAAGCTTTCAATAACTGAAAGCTGTTACTATCACTGCGTACTGATTTACATGTCTCTAGGTTGTCCTTCAGAATGTCTCGGCAGTTTGGGGACAATGGAGGACCTGGTCAGGTGCTTTGGGAATTACAATAGAATTTCCCCATGCACTATCTCACTTAAT